GTTCTTGTATACATGAACTGTTATTTTAAATGTTAAGAAATACCGTGATATGGTAAAAGTGAAAGTAATGTTAAAAATTTGTTATTCGTGTGACTGTAAAGATTAAATCATGGCGAATATGTGTTAAAGGTTGAATGATGTAGTTAGGCTCTCTGACGCTACACTTTAGAGTTAGCCACTTTCAGAATAGTACCTCAGGGTTTAGAGTTGAAATTAGGGTGTGTTAAGAGGTCTCGTTATGTTGAATTTTAACACGTTAGTGTTTTGATTGTAGGAGGAAGTGTGGCAACACGTAGACAGAAACACATTCGTGTTTGGTGTTTTTTTACAACACATGTCAGAGAGCACGGGGAGAGATAATTAAAATAGTCATGAATGAAATAAGAATGTTAAGAGAAGTATATTCTATATGTTATTTGCAATGTCATTGTGTAACATTTCATTAAACTAGTTTTCCTTCCAGATCTCTGGAAGGAACCAGAATTGAATAAAGCTCCTGTTTAGATGCAGTACAGATGAAAAAAAAAAAGATTGTTGTATATCCTGGGAGCTGCTATTGTAACAAATTTCTTTCTTTTAAATTTTTCTAGTTTCTAGCGAAGTTATGTTTGTAAAAGGTTGGCCTCGCGTTAGATTTCTAGAGCTAAAAGTTTTCAACAAGGTCGTTTTAGACCTCAGTTTCAAACTAATTAACTCTGGCGGGAAGTATGTAAGGATCTTAAGTTTTACTAACGTTTATTTTATTTTAAATCTTTACTATCACTTCTTATTTTCTACTTCCGGCCAGAATTATAAGCGTGAAGGAGTTTTTATGCAAAGTTTGTCTGGCGAACGCCAAGTATTTAAGTGTGGCCTTTTTGCCAAGCGAAAGAGAGGAAGCAGTGAGTTCGAAGCAGGCCGCTTACCTTAGAAGTTACGCAGTTGCTACTTTGCCTTCCAGGCCAGAGGTTTTAATCCTCTTGATAAATTAAACGTATTGTAGTGTTCACAGTCTCTGTGCTACATACGCTTCCTGTTATTATAAGGCCAATCTTCCACGTTATTATTCTAAAGTTAAATTAGAGTTTAGTTTTATTTTTATATCTTTTACGTTAGACCCCGAGTGGAGGGTCATTGTATTCCGAAGTACGGAAGTCATTGTATATAGAGAAAAATAAAGGGTTTTGTATACCCTTCGTCTGTATCCTGTCTACTTACTACAATTAGTGAACATAGCTTTAGTAAGCTCTCTGTTCCGAGTCAGGTCCTTGTATGTTCCCGAAGAAGTAAAAAATTACCTGAGAAGGTAACACAATTTTTAAATGGAAAACTGTTTTAGCGTAAGCGTTCCTTATCCTAATTATGCCTATATTCATTGCGCCATTGGCAGTGGGTCGCAACTTTATTGCCTTGAATCCCTGTATGAGCGGGAACCCATTTTAAAGTGGGTCTTTGCGAAATAGGCATTGTCAGAAGCTGTTTCCTAATTCGGCATACCAAAGGACTCCTGATGTTTTGACTTGCGATAGCCGCCAGACTTGATGCCGAATCACTGAGTATGGAGAGTTTCTCCTATTGACATGTGTTCGCATATTTTATTGCAGCACTGATAGCTAGAAGCTCTGCTTGGTATACCGAGTTGTTCAAGCCTAGTTTCCTTTTCCACTCGAATGTTACAATTCCATTTTCCAGTCTACAGAAGGCGCTGCCCGTGCCGTTAAAAATAATTAAATCGAATTCCAGTGCCGTTAGTAAATAATTAAATCGAATTCAAAAATTTATAAAGAAAATTAAAAACACAAATTTGGAATTCGTTACACTATACTTTGGCCTATAACTTGACTTTTATTAGTTTGCATACTATTTTAGCCAAAAAAGAAAATTTAATCCTCACAAGTGAAATTTAACATATTTAAATCTGTCTATGAACTCTGTTATAGCGACCACCTCCCTCCCCTCCTTTGTAGCTGAGCAGTACACCTGAGAATATGAATAAACATCAATACCGAACATCTAACTTTTTCACACTTTCGCAGAAGATCAAAAATATCTGAAATATCTGGGACTGCAGATGGTCGCCTTAGAGAGAGTTCGGTATATTTTTTCTCTCAGGCTGAAAAATATTATTCATTTTTTCCTATCAATTACAGTATTTGCCGGGCAAATGTTAACTGAGTGGCCGAATGCATAATGCATTTTTTAGGCAAAGAAAGACTTACTTTGTATGTAGGTAGTGCGTCTTCAATGCTCTATTTTACTGTTATAGAAATAGATAAGAAATGTTTTGTACGAGACTTTTGATAATGTGTATCAGAAAATGTGTTTTGTACGAGATTTTTGATAATTTGTTTCAGACTTTGCGAGCAGCATCCAACAGTTAGCCTGTTATTATTGGCATTATTCCAATACGAATTTTATGCCTAACTAGAAGCTATCCTCGCTTAGCAATGTTTTTACTGAAGTTAATAAGAAAACTTTAAATGCAAGTAAACCAAGTTTAATTTTTAGAGACATGCAACAATTTACTTTTTCCAGTGCTTATGCCAATTCTAATCCTGATTTATTAATGGGTATCAAAAATACATGAATAATTACAAAAAAAGTGTTTGCAATTGTATCTCTTTGTCATAAGTACGAATGAACTTCATATTACGTAGTGAAATTATAATACATAGGCTGTTAGCAAATTTTTTAGACAATTTTGCTTTGCAGTGAAAAAAAAAATTCTTCTACTTCGAAATTTGTTTTTAGCTGCAACTATATTTTTGAAAATATAAATTATCGTCTGCTACTTGACAGCTTTGTTTTCATACAAAATATCGCTTTTTAACAATCAATGGATTAAAGGCTGTGTTTGTGTTCTTTCCAAAGAAAATTATCCATATCTAGTTATTAAAAAACGTTTTGAAAGGCATGGTTTTTCGATACGTAAAGCTGCGATAGGTAATATGGTCAAAAACAACAAAATTAAAAAAAGTCAAAATTTAGCTTCAAGTGGAAAAGTTGTTCCAAACACGTATCCAAGTAAAAAACGGAATGTTTCGCATTTTTCAAAAGTAAGCTCTTTAATGTTAGAAAAAAATCCGTCAAGTCAAAGGACAGCTGCAAAATCATTACAATGCTAGTGTCAACTGTAAACAAAGTGATTAATATTGATTTGAATCTTAAACAGGTGAAAAAAAAACACAATGAGCATCGTCTTTCTCCGCGACATATCGCCAAATGCAGAATGCGCTTCTGTATGAGAAACATTTATTCGGACAAAAATGGAAAAGTGTTGCCGCAATAGACGAATCTTGGCTGTACTTAAATGACTGCAATTAAAACAGATCGATTTATTATCATCAAAGAGGTTGAAAAACTCTTAAAATATGGTTCAAGGACTTGGTGTAGTGGATGAAACCGCTACGCAAACCCTAGGTTGTGACACAGCTTTGAAATTAACTTCAAACTCAAGTTTTAACAATAACATGAATTTTAATAAGATGAAAACCTTAACATTTGCATATTTTGACAGTATGGGACTTGGGGATTTATTTAGTCCCGTAATTTCAGAAATTTGTTACAGGAAAAATGCTCTAACGCATTATACACGATAAATGATCGTTCTTAGCAGGCAAACATGTCCACAGGTCTAAACAGGAAAAATTGTCCCCTCTTCTCAGGAAACCACCTTATATATCTCCCTGTGTTTATTTGCGCTGAACTCTCGGGGGGGGAGATACTTTCACTCATACATAACAAAGTGTCCATCTCCTGACCTTGATGAAAAGACTTCTTTTATCTCTTTGTCCACTGGAGCGACCTTCGAGGCTGCAAACCGGAATCGTTAACAAAGGCACAGGATTTCACCACTGATATGAAAACTATTGCGCTGTGAAATCACTCACCCTAGACAAAGAACCTTTATGCCACTTTATGACAGACTTTTTAAAAAGTTTTTCAGAGATTTATGATTATTTGCTGGTTTTACATATAACGGCAAATTAAAAATATAAAGAGTGGAGGAAAATGTCAATATCAACGTCACATATTATCTAAAATATATTTTATACCCAATTTTCAAATATGAAGTGCCTTCTCTTTACGCAAAGTGTGATCAATCAGTAAAAGTGCATTAAAACATAGCAAGGTGCGACACGTCAAAAATCTATTGTTAATTTCCCGTAAAAATGGATCAGAAAACGGATATCAAGGCCATAATCCTTCACTCATATCCCTACTAAATCTCCTGATCTCTCGGCAATGTATTTTTGTGCTTTTGAACTTTTAAAAAGTGGGTTGTCCAGACGTCGACCTGCCACCCCTTTAGACTTTGGAAAGCTGTTCGAGAGCAATGGCAAAAAATACCTCTTCCCATACTACAAAGTCTTTATCGTCTTGAAAATTACGGTGTTTAAAGATAGGGAAGAATAAGGATAATCAAACAGAACATTAAAACTTAAAAATTTTAGGTAAGGTATTAATGTAATTACAAAGAAAATCGTCAAAAAATGTGCGAACAGCCTCTATTAACCCTCTTGCGTCGACCATCTGCTTAAGACGACTACTTCTGAAAGTGACTAGTATTTGTGAGAACATATTCAACATTATCTCTGTGAGGTGACTACCTCCACAAAAGACTGAAATTCTCTGGAATCATGGCTAGTCATTTCGATCAGGGATGAATTTGGTTTTAAACGTGCTTAAAAATTGAAGCTGAAATGCTCAGAACTTCGCTTACTGTTCCAATCGTTAAACTGGACTTCATCGTCAATCCTGTCAGATTATCTGCTCACAAATTTTCTGACTGATTTTTCTTGAAATGAATTCATGTATTACATCAATTAATTATGCACAATGTAAAAGCAATGATAAATAATATGACTTCAGTTACTAAGTTAATTTTAAATTATTCTTTCTGAAATTCAGAAATATCTTTTCTTTTTTATTAAGTACTAAAATTTCAATAATCATCAAACTTCTTGAAACAGATTTATTTACTTATTTTTAGCGAATTTAAAATTTAATTATTTTTACAGGTGACAGAGAATTTCCATTGGAACCATGGCTGCTGACGCCTGTTTTAAATCCAGAAACAAACGCTGAGTATAATTACAATGCCTGTCATGCAAGAATCCGTCAAGTTTTGGAGCGCTGCATTACATTACTCAAGAGCCGTTTCAAGTGTTTAGGTGAAAATCGTGTATTGCATTACAGTCCCTTTACGGCAGCATCAATTATAAAAGCCTGTGTCGTCCTCCATAACATGTGTATACAAAATAACATGGAAACCGGAGGAGAGACTATATATGATGAAAACGAAGGAGTAATATGTTACGAAGACCAGGAATTTCCTCTCCCAGACATGTCGTCTGAAGCAGCTTACAATCTACGAAGGAACTTAACTCAAAATAATTTTTAAAATGCTTTAGTGTTTAAATTACTGACCTTTTTCAATTCCAGTTATAGTGATATTTTATAAAAGACTTTTGATGTTGTAAATTTACGTTTTTGTTTCTTTTGTTCATATCTTTTCTAACATTCCGTGGGTAAAATTAATACTATGCACACTTCTTATTTTTAGTCAATTCATTTTCCAAGTATCGTCGTTACTAAGGCAAAACCTTTGAACTTTATTGCTTGGTATTTTCATTTAAATACATTTTCTTGGTTGTTTTTTCGTGTTTGCGTTTACAGTGAATCTCTTGAGGTGACCATCTCTCTAAGACGGCCAGTTATGAAAGTGACAAGTATTTCTGAAAATGTATATTACAAAAACTCGGTGTTGACCGTAATCTCTAGAACCGTGGATGGTCGTCACAGAGAGTATCAACACACACTGTATATCAGAAAATGTTGATGAACATTTTCTAAGATGTATATAAGAGGATTATTGTTTAGAAATCATTACTCAAAAATTTGCTTTTTATTATTAAATTCTTAATTGTGTAATTTTATTGTAAAAATAACCCATTTCGTTAATTTAGATGTAATTTTTGAGTTGCTGAATGAGTATTGTATAAAGTCGATTTTTCAAGCAAATAGTATTAAAATGTGCTGTAGAAATTTCAGGTTCATATTTTTATCATGTATAGGATAGTTAAAAATCAAATAGCATTTTTAAAAACAATAGAACGTGAGTAAAAAGTAACAATCCGTCTTTTTCTCGCATTACTCGTAATACAAACTCTGGGTTTTCTTATGGTTGTTATTATGTTTTAAATATCGCACAGGACAAATAACTACTTTGCTGTTGGGTAAATTATTGCAGTTCATATAGCAAGACATAAACTGCACAATAAAACGTAGCCTGAAGAATTAACTGCGTACTTTCTGAAATTCCTTTTTTTAACTCAATGATGGTACACTTTGTTCTTGAGATTGTCCAAAATAATAATCTTAATGGCTCAATTAAGCAATCAGTCTAGCCAGGTTATGTTTTCCTAATGCGTGGTTATGAAAACAATCTTCGATGATGGCGATGCAGATCCTAACTGTCTAGGGAAGTGCTTCTTCATCCCATTCATAGTGGCAAAGGACTAAAGTATACAAAAAAATTGAAATATAACCATATTTTATTAAGCTATTCACAATAACTGCTTCAATTGCCTCATTGTTTGAGAAATGTGGTCAAATGATATCAGTTTCCGCGCCACAGAAATTCCATACCATTCTGTTACCTTAACGTTGTAAAATAAGCTTTTATTACAGTTCCTGTATACTTTTTTAACCCAATATCACTGAATCTTCGTGATTCGTTCACAGTAATGTGTTGTTGCACTCGTCAGTACTTTCATCTCGTGGGGCAGTCACTACAGGAGTTCCATGCAGTGGATGTAGTACTTACTCGCATTTGAAAACAGTCATTTGTTTTTGATTTATACTCCAAGAAAAAGAATATAATGTTAATTAAGTTAAATCTTGGTCAAATTTGAAAATTCCTAAATTTCGAATTGCGTAAAGCGCTTTCAATTTTAAAAGAAGTATGATTTCTTTGAAATATTCTGCTGTTTTATTATTCTTTCTCAAAATGATTCGATACGTCATGACATAATCGTATCGAAACAGGTAAAATCATGTTAAAGGAAGTAGTAGACAAAAAATAATTGTATGAAAGCACTGAAAACTTAATAATCGATTAAAGAAATCGAAATTTTGAAAATGAACTATTAAAAAGACTAAAACATAATAGGAATTTCTTAGAAATCATTCTCAGTATTATTTCCACGTGAAGAGTTTGAAATCTCTGAAACATAAAATTTAGTCTTCAAAATGATTTTAATATTAAAACGGTATAGTCTTAGAGAGTGCTAACTGCATTTAAACTAACAAGTATGTTTGTAGACGACAGTTTGCTTACTTTTTTCTAATATTCTTATATCAATGGTACATTCAAAAACTGAAATCATTTTAAGTTTTTTATTCTAAGCATTCTATAGTTTCTAAGTTATTATTATGTATTTGTCCCCCATCATATCTACGTAATTTTCAGTCTTTTGTATGCTAATCTACTAGCTCACATTCTGTAATTACAGTATATTTTTAAATTGTTCCTAAATAAATTTGAAAACAAAAATTGTTTTTATTGTTCTTTCATTTTAAAAAAATACAATGTGAAATTACAAACACCATAATCTATAAAACTGAAGATTCCGAGGAAGGGGAAAGAGATGCAATAAAATGTTCTTAATGATGACCATTCACGGTTCCAGACTTATGGATATGGTCACCTTAAAGAACATTCCCGTTGATACGATCAGTTCCATTATTTTGTAAAGTTCTTAGAAAATACTAATCAGGTTGTGGGGCAAAAAGGTTTCCTTGCAATGCAATTATCTTACTTGATAGTCCGAAAATTTTTGATTTTGTGACTATTTTTACCTAATGTTATTGATATTAATTTAAACACCTAATTTTTCGCACTAAAATGTTACTTATTACATAAATTCTTATTTTTATTTGGGTAAATCTGAGCCCAAGGCGTGTGGCGACCACATATGTGCGATTCATACCATTAACATCAATTGAGTCTTTTAATATTTGAGGTTAAAACGAAATCTATATTTGCAAATAAAGCCTGAAGATTATAATTTAGCTAAGACTTGCAATCAAACTCAGAATTAATTTAAACACCTACAAAGTCGTAGCTGATAGCAAAATATTATTCTATCTTATACAATTAAAAAAAAAAAACTTTTGTTGTAATGTGTAAAAAAGACGAAAAGTTAAATTATACCTAAATTCATCTGGAATTATCTATGTAGTTCTCCGCCGTGATAAAAAAATTTCAACTTGCTGATAAAAAAAGGGATTCACTTTCAGTCTCACCGAAACCAATATAGATTGCTGGTGGGAATTCCCATTAAACGAAACGTGATTTTCAATAAGCAATAGCTTTTTAAATGAAATTTTTATCAAATATGTTTGAAAATGTGTAAAATGTTTGTGCAAGCTGAAATTTAAATTTAACTTTATTATAATAATGATAGCGATGTCTGTAGAAAGGAAGAAAACAATAAATACTTATAATTACTCGGTGGAAAAAATGGCGTCATTTTAATAGGATTTGTTTATATCTTTTCTATCTATATATTTATTTTATAAAGCAAGTTTAATAATTTTTCATAAATCTTAAATTAAATGAGTTATTTATAAATTAACAAATGTACAATATTCGACACTAATGTTACACAAATACTGTAATAAGGAAATACATCTCAGTTATTAAAAAAATGTATTAGGCTTTTAATTAGTAACCTACCGTTTTTCTTAATGGCCTTGTCTATATATTCACTTCTCTAGTCAGTGATATTCTTCCACTCGGACATCTACAGCCTCAGGCCACTGTTTTTTATTCATCTTGTTTTTAAAATTATATTTTGAATGAAATGAAATTGAATGAATGAAATTGCTTGAGGCCTTTAAATTATGCTATGTAATATCAAAATGAATTAAAATGTGCATATTTAACCGAAAGTAAATATTAATTATCATCTTTATTTTCAGTTATGAAGCAATATCTCATTTATCTGCCCCTTTGAACTGTTTCTTTTGCATTGCATTGTTATGAACACAGAAGACACTTTTACAGGGGCACCCATTTCAAGGAAGATTTTACTCCAACTACGAATTTTTAATCAAGGTCTGGTACGAAAATAAAATTTCACATAACATTTAGCATGTTGAAAACCTTGAAAAATTATGACAATTTTACAAGACAGAAATATATAACACATAAACGGAGAAATTAATTTTTTATTTTGTCGAGAAGATTCACCTTGAAAAAACTTTTACGTAGAGAAATGAAAGCAAAATATAATCTATGACATTAAATGCTTTAGTCAAGAATTTTTCTTTTGTTTAGATATACTCGCGTAACTACCACCTCCTTAAGAAAACTACCTATAAAAGTAACCAGTATTTCTAAAAACACAAATAAACATCGATATTGAAACATCACCTCTCTAAATGACTACTTTGACAATAACCATTTCATTTAGTACCGCGGAGGGGGGTGTTTCTCGTGGGAAAAGTTACTGTATTTTCCACTGTTATTATTAATTAAATATTAGAAGCAAATATTAAGAGTTTTAAAAATTTTAATTCTTTTTTCTACCTTATAAATGATTTTCATGAGATTTTCCTGGTTATTTGTCGTTGCTCGAAAGTTGTTTTTTATTATTCCAGGAATGATGCAAATACCTTTTTCACTGCAGTGGCTGTATTTTTAGTTTTTCTGATGAGCTATTATTTTCTTTCTCCAGGAAATGTATGATTTCCCCTCCAATTTAGTATTTCGTACATGGTATTTATTATTCTTTGTTGATATCACCATGAGTGTTTTTATGGGAATAAATGCAGTTCTATGTCAATCACCTGTTTAAGCGAGCACTTCTGAAAGCCATCAGTATTTCTAAGAATATAAATAAATATCATTGTTGAACGTCATTTCTATAACACGATCGCTTTTAAAAATGAACAAACACATCTGGAATCGTGGCGAATCGTTTTAGAAAAGTTTCTTTGTAACAGCATTTCAGATTGATGCTGCTTCCCTCTCAGAGGAGTTAAAGCACTAAGCTGAAAAGTTGTCAAAAACAATAGTTGTAATTTTATATAATGTGTGTGGTCAAATAGCAAAGCAACTCTTGTTACAAATAGTAACATTTGACACACACCTAAATGAGGTTATTATTTTCTTTCTCTAGGTATAAAAAAAATTCCTAATATGATTGATTTTTCAGATAGCTTAGAAAACCATTGCGGTATGGCTTAGAAGCAAATGCGAATTACAAAATCCATTTAAATTATTATGAAATGTAATAAGCGTTGTATTAAAGAAGTTAACCATTATTTCTATTGACAAACCCTTTGTTATGTTAAAGCTGATATGTTTTTGTATAGATTGCTGCTCTTCCAAGCACAATAAATCCGACTTAAAACAATCACCCACAGTGCCAAATGATTCTGGTCTTCTTGTGGGGCTCTTAGAGAAGTAATGT